CTGCCGCGCGGGTCGTCGTAGTCGTAGAGTGACCTGGTGCCTGGGAACATTGCGTCGCTGCCGTCCTCTGGGTAAGGGATAGCTCCTGACATGGCGCGGCTGGCGCCCGGCTCTGCGGTGACGACGTTTGCGCCTCCTCTCTCGCGTCCATATCTGCCACCATCGAGGTCGTCTTCCGGGTAAGCATAGCTGGGCTCGCGCGGGGGATCAACCATGGCGGGGACCGCGGGGCTCCGACTGCGCTCGCGACGGCCCGGTGAGCGCGAACGAGTGCGACGGCCTCGGTCGTCAACCTGGAGAGACATGGTAGTTGCTTGGAGACTCTGGACACTCAAACTGGGTTTGTCGCTGTTGAGTCTGAACTTGGCTGCGAAAATGCGAGTTGACGGGAATCGAGGTGGGGTTTTGGAGCTCGAAGTTGAGACAAAACGTGCGGGACAGGCAATGAGGGGCACTCTCTGGCCCAAGTGTGTGTGTGTGTGTGGGACAGGGACCGTGGGCGTAGGGCGACGGGAGCTCCTCTTTTTTTTTTTTGCTCTTATATATCAGAGGGGAGAGAGAAGAGATGAGATGTCGCGTGCTCTCTTAGCTTCAATTGACCAGCGTGCGGCTGACTTCAAGTACTTGTACAGATCTTGGAGCCTCGAGCATAGGGTTGGATACGAAACGAAAGACGAGGAGGCTGTGGATGCATGTAAAAGAAAGGAAAGGAGACAGATAGATGCACTAATGTAAGGGTAGGCATGGGAAAATGGGGTAAGTGAGCAATGAGCAAGCCACCCAAAAGGAGAAGAGTTGGGCTGAAGGATGTGAAACCCACCCAGTTGCATAGCGTCTCTTCCTCATCCTGACCAGGACGGCATCAGCATCAGCAGCAAGTTAGTTGGTTAGCAACAGCTGCTGCGGTACCATGCAGTAAGCTAATGGAGCTCGCATTGTCCATCCCCTGTTCTGACTCCTCGGTGGCTACCTAACTTGGCGGGAAATGTGTCGTATGAGCTACTGGCGAGTAATGCTTCATGACATTACCTGCAGCACCGGCCTGGCATCATGAGGTAGCCGTGTCTCTTGGATCTGCTGATCAAAAGTTGTCCGTCTAGGTAGACCGTCAGGCGCTAATGGCTGTGTGGTTGCGCCGGTTGGTCCAATGGCCGCGATGGCCTCAAATCTAAAGGCCCCTCAAAGATTGCCAACACCGCCTTTCTGTCGTACTGCGTCCTGCGTGCACCAAGACCCTCAGGACAGAGCCCCCGGAAAGCCAGGGGGCGGGCTGGGGTCAACCGTCAATGTGGGCATGAGAAGAAGGCTGTGAACGGCGGCAAGTCCGTGGCAACGGGTTCCTCCAGGGAAGCTAAGCTCTCCGACCCCGTGGGCGGCGGCGGCGGCGAAGAGGGGGGAACGGGTGCTTCTGCAAACTCGAGAGCAATTCCCAACGGGCCGTCTTGTGTTGTGATGACATGCTGCAGCGGAGCGGGGCCGGGATCCCCGCCATGTTGCCCTACTCGTCCTATCAACATGCTCCCGCTGCGGACGATGCAAGGGCCTTTGGGGGCTGAACGAGTGCGTGCTGCCGCTGCTGCTGCACCATTGACGATGGCACGCTGGGATTCCGGTCGAAGTCGACGATTTCGGCTCGGGACCTACACTAGATGGTGACACGGCGGGTGGGATGAAAAGCCGAAGGATTCCGTCAACGAGAGGAGCTCCCAGATGCCTTAGGTAATCTTCCATGACAGACTGAGGTATCCCACTCTCGGCTGCTTATGTAAGGCATGGGGAACCGGAGACTTTCGGCCAAAGGCAGGGCCGCCGGTGGTCGTTGCTGCGCAATCGGGTTATCGGGATAAGCCGGGCTGCACGGGCCACAATCAAGCTCCACAGTGTCAGAGCTCCCCCCAACGGAACGAACTCGGAGGTGATGGAACTCCTGTTAATTATTGAGCCGGCAAAAACGAGACCTTTTTTTTCTCCTTCCTCTCGTCCTTGGAGATCTTCTTTGGTTAATCTGGCAATAACTTCACGCACTCCTTCTCATCACCCATCGAGGTCATCAAAGCTTCAATTGGCTCCGTATAAGCTAGAAATTGCGACTTAGACCGCCGTTTCTACTCTCCAAGACCCTTTCTCCAACCACCAACAGGAAAAAAAAAAAAAAACCGCCCACCATGCTTCGATCGGCACCAGCTCGTCGCGCCGCTTCCGGCCTGGCAAACACACGGCTTACCGTTATGCCGAGGACATGCGCAAAGAGCCTCTCCACATGCTCGACCCGATACACCTCCTCTTCCCCCGCAGCTCTTTACCCCGCGACGAACTCCAGATCAACAAACCTTACCAGCCCTTTCTCCCTCCAGAGAAGCATTCACACCACTGCTCCCAGAATGGCCGAAACCCGTACCGAGAGCGACGCCTTTGGCGAGATCCAGGTCCCCGCGGACAAGTACTGGGGTGCTCAGACTGAGCGTTCCCTCGAGAACTTCAAGATCAACCAGCCCCAGGACCGCATGCCGCCCCCGATCGTGAAGGCCTTTGGTATCCTCAAGGGCGCCGCCGCCACCGTCAACATGCGCTACGGCCTCGACGAGAAGGTTGGCAAGGCCATCCAGCAGGCCGCTGCTGAGGTCGCCGAGGGCAAGCTCCTCGACCACTTCCCCCTCGTCGTCTGGCAGACCGGCTCCGGCACCCAGTCCAACATGAACGCCAACGAGGTCATCTCTAACCGCGCCATCGAGATCCTCGGCGGTGTCAAGGGCAGCAAGAAGCCCGTCCACCCCAACGACCACGTCAACCGCTCCGCCTCCTCCAACGACACCTTCCCCACCGTCATGCACATCGCCGCCGTCCTCGAGATCGAGCAGGAGCTCCTCCCCTCCCTCAAGAGCCTCCGCGATGCGCTCCAGAAGAAGGTTGACGAGTTCGACGCCAAGCAGATTATCAAAATTGGCCGCACCCACTTGCAGGATGCTACTCCCCTGACCCTCGGCCAGGAGTTCTCCGGATACGTCGCCCAGCTTAGCCAGAGCATCAAGAGAGTCGAGTCCTCCCTTCCCGACCTGCGCCAGCTCGCTCAGGGTGGTACCGCTGTCGGCACCGGTATCAACACCTTCCAGGGCTTCGCTGAGGGCATCGCCGAGGAGGTCTCCAAGATGACCGGCACCAAGTTCGAGACCGCCCCCAACAAGTTCGAGGCCCTTGCCGCCCACGACGCCATCGTCCAGGCCCATGGCTCCCTCAACACCCTCGCCGCCTCCCTCTCCAAGATCGCCCAGGACATCCGCTACCTCGGCAGTGGCCCCCGCTGCGGTCTTGGTGAGCTCAACCTCCCCGAGAACGAGCCCGGCAGCTCCATCATGCCCGGCAAGGTCAACCCTACCCAGTGCGAGGCCCTCACCATGGTCTGCGCCCAGGTTATGGGTAACCACGTCGCCACCACCATTGGCGGCATGAACGGCCAGTTCGAGCTCAACGTCTACAAGCCCCTGGTCATCCGCAACCTTCTCCACAGCGTCCGCATCCTCTCCGATGGCATGCGCTCCTTTGAGAAGAACCTCGTCGTCGGCCTCCAGGCCAACGAGGAGAAGATTGCCAGCATCATGAAGGAGTCGTAAGTCACCAATATTATCTGCAAAATTATACGTCTTATTGCTAACACTGTCACAGCCTCATGCTGGTCACCACCCTCAACCCCAAGATCGGCTACGACATGGCCTCCAAGGTCGCCAAGAACGCCCACAAGAAGGGCCTCACCCTCAAGGAGTCCGCCCTCGAGCTCAACGCCCTCTCCGAGGAGGACTTTGACAAGCTCGTCCGCCCCGAGCTCATGATCGGACCCAGCGCTTACAAGCAGTAGAAGCGGCGCACTGGAGATCGGTCATGTTGAATGATGTTGCTGTTGTTGTTACGTGTTGATATAAAGTGGAGAGCTAACCCCGAAACCCACCAAAACCTCCCCCTCCAACGCCTTGTGTAAAACTACCTACCTTGCGTAACGATATCCTGTTACCTGTGAAAAGGGAAACAATGCGGTCTTGAGCGATCCGTGTTTGTAGAATTGAAATCGTAAAACAAAAACATTTACAAAATCGCGTGGTTTGCATAGAATGAGAGCGTGATGCTGTCTGTATTGATTACCCCGCCATTTCACATGTGATGTAATCCCGTACCCCGCATATAGCGCACCGCGCACCGCATGGCTGTCAAGATGCCGTCTCACCGTTCGGATGGGAGGATTCATCTCGCATGCGTGAGCTTGAGCGCGGCACTGCCTCAACAATTTCCAGACGATGTGTGTCGTCTGTGGAAGTTCCGGTGTGTAAGGTAATGTACAGAGTATGCACGCTCTTAAGCGGATATGGCCAGCCGCAAACCGTGACCAGCACTAAGGGCTACTTTTTGACATGCTTTCTTGTTAGTGGCTGTGAGACACACTCCCAGGAAGTCTGTTTGCCAATGAGTCGAGTCACAAGGTCATAAGAATTTGAAGATAGTGGTGAACGTCGGGTTTGAGTTTCATGAATCCGTACGAGTTGCCGAATCGAGACGAGTTTTGGTCTGGTCTCGTGATGCCATTGGCTGAGTGGAAACTCCGGGACGGCTACCACTTCAAGAGGGCAGAGCCAACAAAGTGGTCCGCCCCTTACACCTTCGTAATCACTTTTATCATCACCAAATCACGAATTTTGCGGAGTAACTTATGCCGAAAGCAATGATAGCTTAGAAGAAAAGTAGCGGCAAGGCCTTTGTTGGTTCAAGTAAGAGGCCCCCTAGTAAGTTCAAAGCGTGAGGAGATTATGAGAGAGGTGGACCAAAAGAAAACAAGTGTTTCATTCGGAGTCTTCATTTACGAGGCGACACTGGGGTACCTTCGTGGTGTATGTCAATCTTGAGGAATTCCTCCTGCGCCCAATGTTGCTCTCTCGCGAGGTAGAATGCCACGAAGTAATGGATCCGAAGTTTTATAGGTTCCAGAGGTTTAGATACGAGAATTTTCGGATCGACCTTCAGTTCCTCAATCGAGTATCGTACCGATCCACGCTTCTCGAAAACATTGCAGCTCTCAACATGCTGTCATAGACTTCCCTAATTGAACCGTCAACGTTGTAGCCAAGCTTCCTGTCGAGGAGGACGCGGATGCATTGAATTGCACCTAGAGAAGCTGCGCTCTCAAGGACCGTTTCATCCTTGTGATTCCATAGGGTCAAATCAAGCTTGTGGTCCAAAAGCAACTCTAGTCCCTTAGCATTGTCGGACTTGAAAGCAGACATGAGGCAGCACAGAACTCCGTTGCCTCCGAAAAGTTGAGCTCCGTGGAATTCGAATTTGCAAGGTAGGTTTGGGTCCGCTGGGTCCGCTTCCCAATCCAACAATGTCGAAAGAATATCGGTGGAGGACACACCATCACCAACCACCTCGCACAAAGGTGTATGTACATAGCGAAGGTTAGGATCCGCCCCCCTCGAAAGCAGCATTTTGACGGTACTGAGAGTGCCACATGCGTGATGTAATGGATACTTATTATCCATATCAAAATGGTGTTCGTCCATGACATTGATCTTTGCCCCGTTATCAATGAGAAATGAACAAATCTCGTCGTATCCGTGCCTTGCAGCAATGGATAGGAAAGAGTCTGTCTGTCTAGGTGTTGCTTCGTCGAAAACATACCCAATTCGGCGCAGATGCTCTAGTAAGTCAAGTGACCCTAAGTCGCAGGCTGCGAAGACAGGGTTGCACCATGGCTGCATTTCCTTATGATCCTTCAACAGCCACTTTCTCCTCAGTGCCCCCTTACCATCCAGATCACTTTGATATCGAAAGCTCGAAGTATCGGCAGTGGCACCAAGACCTAGACAATACCCCAGGACTCCCGAGAGTTCCTGGGTTCTGGGGCGCCGTTTGTATATACTTCGGATAAAGTCTGGCCAGCTGGTATGGGCATATGCAGATAAGGTGAAGTTGGCATTGGTTGCTGCGGGGGACATGAGAGGCTTCATGTCCATCAAGAGTGGTTGACAACGGAAGTACCATGAGCTTGCACGCAGATCAGCGCTTCCTTTGCCTATGTAGCTCCCCTCTTCTTCATCTCTGTGCTCTCTTGGTAAAGACGCCTGTAAGAGCAGCGACGTTGCAATGTATAGTTCACTGTTTTCATTTTCCTTCCAGTGTTTGAGCTTATTGTCGAAAAATTCTGCGACTGAGGCATGCGGAAATCTCCAATTCCAATGTTTTGCATTTGTGGCGCGTTCCCCTGAGGGTATCTCTTTCAAGATGATCAGATGACGACATATGTCGCCTAGTTCAGCCTCCTTGATGCTGTCATTGTCCAAGGCAGCCTCAAACTCCTCATGGGTCTTGCAGAACGGCAGTTTAACGACCTGAAGAAGAACCTTTGTCGGTAGCGGTACCTCGGCCCATCTGACCCACATAGCGGCTCTCATGAGAATGTCTAATGCGTGTCTGGCTTGCCGAGAGCATATCTCCTCGTAAGAGGCCACGAGGCCCTCTGGAAGCTTCATGAGTCGCTGCTTCACATCGATCTCTGTCCTCAACGGTTCTAACTGATCCCATTGAAGTTGAACCCATTTGAACCTGGTCGCACAGTGAACATCAGTGGAACTTCCGGAACTTGCAGCTGTAGGTAGCGGGCTCACATTCCACCATGTTTCTTGAGAAGAGTCTCTCTCACAAGTGACTGAACACTTTGTCTCTTCCAAACAGGGCTAAGACCGACTTGGCTGAGCTTGAGGTCAATGTATTTCTGAATATCTTTATGGTTGTCCGAGGTGCTGATCTGAATGCAAGACGACGTCTCCATTAACTCAATTACATCGGTTTCTGGGCGACTGGATATGAACACTTTGACGGGCCGGTCAGAGTCTTCGATCAACTTCCGGAAAAAGCTCATAATCTGCGTTCTTGACCTCTGATCGCATTCGTCCAGAGCATCAAGAACCAGGATAGATCGCGGGTACGTGTTGACCAGTTCGCGTACAAATTGTTCGCATTCGGATATTTCTAAACTTCGTCGAGACGCCGCAGCATCTTTGCAAAACATGAGAAGTTGCTTGTGCCATCGATCGCGGTGGCGTGACACCGCCAAGAGCTGCACGATATAGCTGCTGAGAATAGACTTTATATCTTTTCGGCCAATCAGTGAGCGATCGCAGTAAAAGTGAGCAAAGCCTTCATCGTTCTCTGATGATCTCAAGGTATCGCCAGGACGAGACCGATAGCGATCAATCACTTTAGACGTCAAGAAAGACTTCCCAGCTCCCACTTTTTCTACCAATTAGCACTATTTTACGCGAAAAGGAGGATGTTTGGCATACCTTGGCCGTTGAGCCATAGGATTGATGACGAGCTTGGTTCTTCCCACGCAAGGAAGCTCGGATGCTGTATAAGCCATTCGCAGGTTCCCTCAGTCCTCAACTCTTTTTTGGCGACGTGAATCTCATCAACCTTGACGTCACTGATGTAGTTCATGGCATGCTCTCTGTCTCGGCTATCGATATCCTTGAAACAGTCTAGAAGCTGCACTACCCTATCGTCGATTCGTCGCAGAGGGCTGTGAAGGCTTTGCAACAGCTCGAGATTCCTCTCTGTTGACTCGCAGACGCAAGCTTCTACGTTCATCGAGACGTCATTCTCCGCGGCCATCAGATCTGATAACAACGATTCTGCGCGGTCTGGGTCAGTGAGAGCCGTGAGAAACTGCGCTGCCCAGGATTCTTGTCCGTTTAGCTGAGTTGATGTCGTGGCTAGTAAGTCCAGAGAGGATCTGTACAGCTCAATGACAGAGTCCCTCAGGAGCACTCTCGAGGGTTCTGTCAAGTTCGCGCTAGAAAGGCCGTACACACATTCGTATATCTGACCCCGTCTGACAACGCTGAGAATGCGGTCGGCGACACCAAAAGCAGCAGTGATTTGTTCAACTCGACTTGTTTCGGCCTGTACCAGTCAGCAAGACCCAGTATCTGATAGGAGTCCGTTTGGGCGAGCCTACTTGCAGGAGCACTCTGAGTGCTGACCACACCGGCGAGACTGGCACAGGGGCGAATGGTACGCTGATGTCGCCGATCATAGTCACCCAAGCCACAACTCGATTCGCATAGTCCCTCCACAAAATGTTCCGTTCTCCGATTTTCAGTCCTGAACTGGCATCCTGGTATGTTTCTTCGCTTTGCCTGACCAGTGTCGTCAATTCTTGGACTTGGATGGTACTCGAGCGGTCGACGCCGAACTTTCCCATCCAAGACTTGGTGTCTTGATGAGTCTTGTTGAGCGCCTCATGCCATAGGTCGACTGGCGCGTTTTCTGTAACGATTATAGGTTGATACTTGACGAGCTGAACGTCTGAGGAGGGCACCTCAACATGTGCTTCGGTAGACTCTCGACTGTGTTTGCTGTCGGCGTCTGTGTTTCCGGTTCCCGCGTGTTTGGATGAGATTGACTCGGCCTTGCCATTCGAAACGGAACCATCGGTAGACTTGGTCGGCGACTGTGGTTTTGGCTCATATGGAACGGCTGGCTTTGACGTCGGTCCTGGTGAGGCGGGAGGCTTCTTCTTCGATCCGAGATTGAAACAAGAGATCAAGGCCGAAACGCAGCTGGACTTTGTGTCCTCGGAGGACTTGGTTTCTGCCATCACGGGTGTATGAAACACTGCTGTTCAAACACACCAATTGGCCCACTAGTGACTCGGGGCCGAAAGCTTCTGCCCAGAGTTGTGATGAGCTGTGTCAATTGGCGCGTCTAGTATGTGAAACTTTGGCAGAAGTAACCCAAAATATAGCTTACGATAGAGATCGTGGTTTCATAGTATATCACAGGTTTTGAAGAAATGAGGCGAAAGATAGGCGTGGCATGAGGAGAGTCCGAGGTATGTGATAGCTCGGGGATTTGCCAAAAGCCTGAGAAGATTCCGGTTAGAAAAGGGGTCATGAGGCATACATACATGCAGGTCGCAGCGCTTAGCTGCATCATAACATGAGTCTTCCATCCAATGGTTGTACGTGAAGCCGTCGACCAACATGCTTCCCGCCGATAATCACACTCTCTGATGGCGCATCGCGAGTAACTACACGCGGCTATCAATTGCCCTGTTAGAGTTGCACCATGGGCGAAAGTAGTTGCGTCTTCCGAAACATGACGAAGCCAAGAATATGGTATTTCTGAGTTCTGTACACCAACGGAGATGCAAAGGAGGGGTTGGGCCAGGGTTCAGATCTGCAGCCTACTGATGCTGGGACTTACAGCTGTTGGTTGGGACAAGGTACGCTGCAAACTGAGCTCTCATAACAAATGCCTCACGGATGAATGTCACAGCAGAAAAATGAGGTTGAATGAGACACGATAAGCTGATAAATATGTTATTGTGCACGAAGGCTTGGTAGGATCAGTTGTGTCAAACCAAGTATTGAGGTGAAGCCGCAAAGGCTGATGAGCCTCACCAGACTGTACTAATACCACGTAGTACTAACGAGAGAGTCTTCCATACTATACCACGATGACCTCTGCGTCTTCACGGAGCACCTTGATGGATCGAGCGTCGTCAAGACAAGGCATGACCCTCCTAAAGCCAAACGACGATTGGAATACCGTTCATCACCGTCCTTCGAGTAGAACAGAAAGAAGCTAGTAAATTTATCACATGTATTGTATATACTCCATAGTAGGCTATCAAGACATCGTTGCATGCTGTCTTCTTCACACCTAAGGAAATATGCATGGCGTCCGCATACAGGCGAAGTCCGTAACAAAGGACACGTCCGACAACCTGTATGCGTAATGGGTTGATATCTGCGGGAAGGAGTATCTTACATTCTCTTCCTAAGAGTCACAAGCCTCACCAAAACTCATCAGACTAACAAATGGAGCACCGTCTTCAAAGCTTGACACTGTTCTACCACGGACGTTCCTTACCGACCACATATCAAACCTTAGTTACTTGACCTTTCTCCGATACTCCAGACGTAGATATAAGTCAAGCCAAGTTTTCTGAATCCATACCAGATTCTTATTTACTTCATCCCACCTTGAACCAATCCCAAATTACAAAACGAAAAAGAAATACCAAACGCAGGGAAAACTCATCACCCATAACTCACAACATGGCATCCAAAATCAACCTCGCCATCCAGCGACTCGCTATGCCCACATTCAAGGCCGCGATCACCCCAGCTACCAGACTCGGTAATCAGCAGTCATGTCTCCTCTCAACCACCGCAACCCTGAACAAGAGACTTAGCCCCTCCGAGTACCGCTGCTCCATAAGGAGAGCCTTCGAGGAACGCAAGACGCTCACCATACCAAAGCTAAGCGCCTTCACCTGGCCTCGTCAGCCGAGCGGAAAAGAAATCGTCAGATCTGGGCTCCTCAACAGAACCATTCCCACGAGAAGAGTCAAGGCTCCCAATCCGAGCGCCAACAAAGTCAACAAGACGGATCCGATGCAGAGCGCAATCATCCCCGCCTCTCCTATAAAGATATCCGCCCTCAAGAACAAGATTTCCAGCGGCTATAACGGAACTCTCGAGATGGCAGAGAAATTAAACGCCATCCCCGTCATATGGAAAGTCGCCGGCCTGACGACCCTCGCCTCCCTCGGCACCTACGGCGCCATCGGGCAATACCAGGCCATGTTGGAGGCAGAGGCCAAAAAGAAGAGAATCGCGGAGGAAGACGAGGCTTGGAGGAGATATAAACAGGAATTGTGGGAGCAAGAGCATTCCATATCGCCTGCCTCGGGCGTGCTCAACGATGGATCGTATCCCTTTGCTTTGTTCTACCACTAGTAAGGCATGGGCGGGGTGGTCAAGCTGGGACACGGGGAAGCATGGGAGGAACGTCGCGCCAGAGAATCCAGGCTCGTCCTCGATAGTTCCGCCATCTCCATATTAGATATGAGAAAATCGAAGTTCTAAGTGTAGGCCTTACGGTGTATAAGTCTTATGTGAAATCGATACCTGTCGTTCATCTTGTTCTGGGCTTACACTGTCAAGAGAATATCCGATGAGCTTAGCATTGAGTTTCGTTTCATGTCTGGGTCAAGTCTGAGACCGATGTTGTCAAAGGCAGTCAAAGATATTCGCTTTTCTATGATTCCAAGCAGTTATGTTGTAGTCAGGACTCGGCGTGTGTCGGTAGCCCCATCTTCTTTTGAGATTCTATCCCGCAGATGTCGTATGGTTTATCTTACTGGTTTATTAAGCAAGGAACCATCAAGACGCAGTTGGCTTGCTAGTTTACTAGACTTCCATCGTATTCACCTTACGGCCAACTCTCACGGCCCTCTCCTCTGAGCAAGATCATGTCACGGCACGACCACAAGCGAATATATCGAGTGATTGCCTGGGCATGCTATTCACTGCATAATCCCCCTTCACGACATACCCCAAGACCCGTCTGATTCACCCCTCACCCACCAAAAAGCACCCAACCGTATCCTACTCCACCCATCGTCACCAACCACAACAAAACGACGATACCTTGCTTCATCAGAAGGAAATCCAAAAAAACATACAACACCAGGTATTCGCTGGTCGTCACCGACCCAACTACTAATCCGGCCCTCATTGGCTTATCTATGGGAGAGCGGACGGGATCCCGAGTTTTCCAATGGGTATGGTCGTATGTGGTAGTCAAGCAAAGGGTAGGAGCTCATATCGTAAGTTTGAGGGGGATTCTTGCGTTTGGCGGGTGACCAATACATCAACTTAAGAAAACATGATTGTTAATTGTCTTTTGGAGAAGACTGAATGAAACCTGGAACAATGCTTTGATCTTTAATTGGGAGTGAAGTTGTGGTGCTGGGGCAAAGACTGCGGAGCTGTCCGATATGGCATGAGGGGTGTCGTGATGATGGTTTACGCTTCATGCTTTGGACGGACACAGCACCCGTGGGTATTCCGCTGCCCTCCGCCTCTACCAAGTCCTTGTAAATGAATCAAGTGAAAGGAACTATTTAAAGGAGACGCGTGTATGAGCCTAGAGCATCGCAAGCGCGCCTCGACCTTCGGCGACGGCTCTAGCAGTTCGCACCTTGGAGTGTTGTCACGTTGCAGTCTTTGAGCCGCATTACCGAGGGCGGAACTTGAATCCCGGGTTTGTCAACAACAACCACAAGAACATGAGTGTATTCATTCTAGCGTTTTTTCCGTACCAAGTAGTTCCCATTTCCAACGATCGCTCAAAGATACTTTTCAACCCGGGAGGTGGGGGGAGTAGTCGATGGCGGATCACGGCACTTCGGCAACATTGCTATAAGGTAGACGGGCCGCAATAGCCGCTATCTCATCACCAGTCACCTTATCATACGCCGGGAAGGTGGGCTGGAGCACTTCATCTGACTGCGTGACAAGGTTCTACTTCAACTACAATTCTTGCATGTGCAATTCCGAGAATACTGGCTTTCGAGGCGGTATTCGAGATACAGATATGGTGCGGGCATAGTACTGTGGAACGTCCCCTTCGCTCACCGCAACAGATACACGAGACCCATTTCTCAACCGTGCCTCATAGTTTGAGGTTATGGTAGTAGGTTGCAAGACTTCGGATTAAGTAGATCAGTCCATCCAAGCTTGGAGATCCTGGTTCCTCTTCGGTGTTCCGCAACTCACCGACGCCGTCTCAAACTCAGAGCCGCCCTCTTGTCGTGAAGTTTCAACGTCCTTGTGATTGTCCTGGCCACTTCCTTGCCGCACTCAAAGTTCACAGAGGTGAGAGGGTACAGATAGGTTGATTGTTTATGAGTTTTTCTTGTTTTTTAATTCATGCCGTTAACCAGCGCCGCGCTCAATACTAGTAAGAAGATGGTATCGCAATGTCTAGTAATCACATTAAAGTAGTCCGTAAGTCCTGAGACTCGTAGGTGTTGTTGTTTTCGTTTTTTCTTTTTTCGTTTCCCTTCCTGGGTTAAACCATTTGCATAGAATCACGGTCTCGGTTCTTCGGCATCCTGCTCCTCCTCGTCATGGTAAGGCATCGAGTCACATCGGAACGATGGTGTTTTGCACGCCTTCTCGTCCACCTCTAGCCGGATCACTCCTTGCGGGTCATAGTGCTGGCGTACTCTGCGTTCTCTGTTAGTCGATTGCACTTTGATAGCTAATTGATGCATGTGAACTCACCCTTGGAAGGTAGTACCGACAAACTCCAGCACCAAAAGGACGAGAACGAGGGCAATGACGGCGCCGAGAACAATCAGATCGGGGTGCTGCTCAAAGATCCTCATTGTCGGCCGGGTGATTTGCTTCCAGGACGGCAGGCGACCAGAAGGCAGCAGCTCCGCCAGGCCATCCTTGAGCGACATTGGCGTAATCGTCTCGGGGGTTCCGTCACCCACAACGTCCACCACTCTGTCCTTGCCGTGAGGTGCTGGGTGCCTTGACAGGGATTGGAGGTAGCTGGTTTTCAGAGGCCGCGGTGCGGCGAGAACGATTGACGGGGGCATGTCCTCGGATGGTGTTACTGGCTCGTTGTTGAACTCGGTTTCGATGTCATAGACGTCAGAGATGGGCCGTGTGCGGTGCATAGACACGCGTGTTACCCTCGTCAGACGACGTGCCTCGGTCTTGACGTGTGAGACCATATCTGAAATGGTTGATGGGACGGGAGCAGCCAAGCCGAACTGGGTGAAACCCAGGGCGAAGAGTAGTGATGAAGGCTTCATTTTCTTTGCTGATTAGGGTTGGTAATTGGTGATTGTGATGTATACAAGAGTTGGTGTTTTGATGCGCGAAGAGATTCCGTCTTTGTCGTCGTGTCTTGTCTCAGTCCTGTTTGTCGAGGGTTTAGATGATGTCCAGGTATGCTCGACTGGTAAGTCTGTTTCCCACGATGTCCGTCGATGTCGAAGTAGTTCCAGCCACAAAGAAAGCCTCCTGGTTCCTTTTCTTTGCCTTTCCTCCAACGAAGCAGGTCGTCTGAGTTGATGCGACTAGCCTGTTGACTTGTGCTGGATGTGTGCTCCAAGTACTACTGCGTCTGTAACGATTACACCAATATTCTCAAGCCAAGGCGGTGTTCGGCAATGTACGATGATTGTAAACGACCAGTAGGGGAGGTGGCAGTTCAAGGTGGAGGGCAGTGGTGTTGTATTAAGATGCTTGAATGGGTGCGGGGTGTGCCGAGACGTGAAGGGATATATGTCCAGGTCTGGGCAAGCCGATTTATTAGAGGAAAAGAGATCCGGTGACAGCGGCAGAGCAACCAGAGACAAGTCGAGGCGCGAAACCGAGCGCAGAAAAGTCAGCGTAATGGAGGGCGGGAAAGCTCGCAGGCGAGTGAAACAAAACAAGTAACGGGCTCTGGTGTGTTCCCAAGTTATGAGGAATGAAGAAGATGGGACGGGGCGACTAATGGAAGATGTGAGACCCGGGGGCAGCGAGGAGGACCGGAAGGATAGACGGCTGAGAGCAGAACGGAAGAGGTAGGTGTTCGTGGGATTTGACGTGCCAAGGCGAGCGAGGTCTGAAAGTAATATAGGAAGAATAAGAGACACCCTCGACTCGTCCGGAGTGAGGAGAGATGGGGTCTGATCAGAAATGGGACTGGGTATCCGTGAGTAGCTGCAAGTATGTTTGTGCAGGAGACAAGAGGCATGGGGCGGGTGAGGTGGTAATGTTATTATGTATGATCCAGAGCAGAGAGACAGAGAAAGGAGAGCAAACCCAACCTTTTACGCATTGGGATTAACATGACATTAGCCTCACCCAAGACGGCGGCGTTTCTGTTCGCACCTTTTGGCCCTCGCTCCGTCTTCTCTCGAGAGAGACCTAGCCAGCCCACTGCAGCCAGCCATCAAGGGCCCAGGGCCATGCTCGTCCTCCTTGTCTAAGTCTCTCTCAGATCCCCTCTGGTCTGCTCTCTGCTTTCCCTCATAAAAAGCGGGTGCTGGGGGACCGGCCGCTGTCCCCCCTCTGCCTTCGGGCGGCAGGCCAGGACCAGGATCTAGGCTCAGCCAGGGATGCAGGGATGGTCTGGACCCTGTGGGCTGCGGTGCACCCTGTTTAATGCAGCAAGCGGGTGTCTCGATTCAAACATGGTCGGCCGCAAGCTTCTTTTCTCTCCTGGACCTCGCCAGGGCCTGTCCTGTCCATTCGTACCTCAGCATAGCAGCATGCCTACTGTGGTGACTCTGGTGAGGAGGTGCGCCCAGGATCGTTTGTCTTTAAGCTCCGGCCCCCAGTGTGAAGAAGCAAGGGCGACTGGCGAGTGATTTGCTGCTGCGCTCTCTCCGAAATGGACAGATGGGATGGGATGGGATAGGCACGCACGGAACGGCAGCGGCAGCGGCACACTCGAATGATGACTGACTCTGGAGGCCTGTAACAAGAACGAGGAGAGAGCCTGCCGAGTAGCCGATCTCGAGCGCTGTGTTCTGGCGATCTTCGTTTCTTTGCATAGAGTTGATAGGCCCGCGGGCCTTGCGGCTCTGGTTCTTGTCTGCATTCTTTTCGGTACCCGGTTTGCTCGGCCCCCTCCATCATCCATCATCGGTGAAAAATGAAAAAGTGAGATGCGACATGGAGGGCCACCTCAAAGCACGACTCCATAATCATGAGCAGCTCGGTTTCCAAATCTTTTCTCCTGTATCCCGATTTAGGATCGAACGACGAGGAGCCAAGGTGGACGCGGGGGTGAGCTGGATCGTCTGCACTACCACCTCGCCCAAACCCAAAAGGCGCGTTAGTTGGCGGGTTACTGCGTAGCAGGCAGGCAGGTTTGGTGAGGTCCCCTGGATTTTCCCTTCCGCTGCGGATTGCCCATGCCTTTCGGGGGTTCTGCAGACCATAGGGCACCAACCCACACGATTATTGCCAGGGATGGTCAGTGTTTGCACGGGCAGCTCAAGGGGCCGCGGGATTCGAGGGACGCGAGAATATGGAGAAGGAGACATACTACGCAGACAGACTTGAATGCGAGAATGAGACTGCCCAACAACCTGGCAGAATCCCAGAGACTCCAGACTCCAGAGTGCAAATACCTGAAGAGGAGGTAATCCTTGCCAGTAGATCTCATGTGTCACGGCCGAAGGCCGGACGGGGGGTTCCATGCGTAGATTTGCTTGTCGACCGAGGTTGAGAAGAGACGAAAGAGACGAAAGACATGAAAGACAAAAAAGGCGCCTCCCTATGGAGTCTGTATGGATTCCAATTGGCATGTCAGGGGAAAGACTCGACGGTTGCCGTCACAGGCTGCGGGAGCGAAGCCAGGTTGTTAAGTCAAGCTTCCACTCCGTTGTCTCGTCTAATTTTGCCAATGGTCGAAAGAGGAGGGGGGACAGGCAGGAGAAGTGCAGGAAAGTAACATCGAGAGCGAACGAACAAAGCAAGCTATTGAAGCTGAGAATGCAAGCCCGCATCTGCTCTGGGCCTGCGTCTGGTCAGCCCAACATCTGTACGGAATACTTGGTGTAAGCGATGCCCCCATCTCGACGGCACATTGGCCGATTGTGTGCTGTGATTCGTGGGTGCGCTTTCCCAGCTGTGCTTCCCCCAATGATTCCCACCTTCCCTGCAATAGTTGCTATTGAGGCTGCAGCTTCTCTCGCAAGCACGACAGCTTAAGGTACCTTAATTACCTACTCCATGGCAGGACCAACGGTTACCTTCCGTACTTGCCCACCTCAGTTTACCTCAGGTATTTTGCGAGATAGGTAAGGTAGGTACCGCTAAATGCACACTTTGTAGTTTGTACCTTGGTCTGTCCGAATATTCGTACCGGAGGAAGTGACCTGGGCTTCTCTTTCCCACTTCTCACATCTCACGGCGCCACAGGAAGAAAAGGAAGAGAATCAAGCTTTCCTCGAGTGATCCCTCGCAGCTTGGCCAACCCCCCCAGTGCCCCCGTCTGGATCCTCTGTGCCCCTCAGCTCTCATTTCCCACCTTCTGCCCGTCCACAATTGCCAACGGGAGCACGTGGGCAAAGTTAACCCTGTGCGAGTCTTGACTCTCTACTTTCTGAAGAGATGGCAGCGATCAAAGCCCACCAGGAGCCTTGCCTTTCTTGGCGATTCCAAGACGTACGAGAGAGCGAATCACATAATACCACCCCCCCGTCACAACCGGACTTCCCACAGTGTCCTCTCTCCAGCTCCCTGACTATTAAGTCTTTGCACCCAAAATATCGTCGCCTCCAGCCGCAGCCCACCGGCACCCATCCCATTGAATCTCGCGGAGAGAAAAGAAACGACCAGGAAAAGCGAAGAGAAATGAAAAAAGACGAGCACACAAATCATCCCCCTTGCTCTGCCGCAGCTGAAGGAGATACCCGTCACCTATCGAGACCACAGAGATGAAGAAGACGGAACCCAGTCGACAATCGTCTTCCAAGCCACAATAATGGACACTGACTATTCGGCTTATTTTTCCTCCATGATCCCCAGGTAATAGACTAATAGTCCATGTTCACGGCACGCTTTCCCACGGAAATGGGTCCATGGAATTGCGCACGGCACGCGGGATTCCGCCTCTCCTCTACGGATAAAGCTATGGACTATAGCGCGCTTTACACCTGCCTGTCCGCGGTCACCGTCCTTGTCGATGGCCTACTCAGCGAATCAGTTATCGTCTTCCATCGTATGCCGATGGCCCCTGTCGATTTGGCGTGTCTAGGATGCTTAGTCAAGCCTCCGTCCAGCCAGCCAGTTCTCACGATGCTTGGCGCTTCCGTGGCTGCAGTCCTCGTACAGACGAAATTGCACCCAGCTGCGCCCTATACCACGGATATGCACGCAGCACGCTGCACAAGACGGCCATCCAACCAGCGCCAAGACACTGCCTCTTCCCCCCCCCCCCCCCCAAAAAAAAAATAATCAAAAAAAAAAAAAAAAAAAAAAGAAGAGAGCATGTCAGCAACACTTCAATCGTCAGCAATGATCTTCTCAGTTCATGCAATCATCGAGTTGCCCTGGGGCTGGGACGGCAAAAGTTCCAAATCAACTTAGACTCTACCAACGCCAGAGACACCATCATGACAACACCAGCCAACGCCTAATGCGACGGTTTCTCTGTCCAATGCCAGGTGAGAATTGGCGCCAAAGCCAAATCGCAGCTGGCGAACCCAAGCAATGGATCTACGCCAAGGATCCACTGATTAGCGCTCCGGTTCCATTGCTTGGACTTCTTTTTTTGAAATCACCACACCACAGGCGCGGCAGATGCCGACATAGCTTCTGCCAGCCGCTATCAAATACCTAGTGTGCACATTCGCCATTTTGGTTGCAATGTAGTGACTGAAGACACCGCGGAGCTGTCTCTCTTCTTTGGGACCATGGCCGGCTCGTCGCCAGGGTCACAATCACAGGGTGACCGCAACCAAACGGAGCAAGCATTGACGAAGGAGAAACATGAAATCCCCGTCCTGGGAAGTTGGAGCCTGCCTCCTAGGGAGTTTTGCGACAGTGTGGACTGTTTCGTTCCATTGCAACCGAGGCCCACATCGGCAGCAACTGCGAAACCCGCTTCTTCTTGCCCTCCATGGTGAGGTTGTCTGAACGTCAAAACGGTTTCAACAGATGCTCTCAGACCAGCCCACCGTCCATGGGCACGCAAAAGCACGGGATGCCATGGGAATGAGACTTTGATGGACCCCGAACCCGCATACCTCTTGCTTTGCCAAGCCCGTCCGGCAAGACTTGCAACAGGAAAGCAACGTTTCTAACCAAGGAGGTCGAGCCGAATTGTCGCAGATGGCCCGCTCGTTGATGTCATGTTGCTCTCTTCTCGTGCCTAGGTTTGGAGGAAAAGGGGAAATGGATCGTCGATGCCAGCCCCGACTCACTCAGAATCGTCCCATCGAGCTGATGGTGAGGCTATTCGCACTAGTACCGCCGAAACGTCAGTAGGTACCTCGAGCCCCTTGGGCCAGAGTCAGATCTGAGCTGGTCTCACTGCCCAAAGACACTCCCAGCAGCACCCACTGCCTGGCCACCTATCAGTAGTATCGCCCAGCAAAGGGCAGCGTGGGCGCTCTTCCGGTCGGCCCGCTAAAGTTCCAAAATAAGCAGTCCCTTCTAGGCGAACTATCAGTCTTCACAGCGCCCACAGGGCATGCCTGCCATCGCTGCAGCCTGCCACACTCCCGGCCTAGTCCCTGTAGGGCGCGCCGAAGAGTCTGGACCACAGGGCCTTGACCATGCCAACGCGGAGGGGCGCATGGCACGGGAAGGGGCCCAGAAGATTGGTAAGAGCACCAAAAGGGGGACAGACGATGGACAGTGTGACAGCCTACCTGTATCCGTATGGATCTAGGAATCGCCGACGAGCACACGACCACTAAACCACCAAAGCGATGCAGGATAATGTCGCCATTGACCGGCTATGGGGTGAAGGGAATATCCATTCAGCCCTCAGGAACGCAGCATGAGGGTCGATTCCAGTGGGACAGCCAATCAGCCAAGGGATAAGCAACGAACAAGCTTTGTGCCGGTGCGGGCCTCCCTGCAAAGAAATTCGGGGCCATCTAGGCAGACAGGAATGAGACTGCCCGGCTTCAAAATGCTTCTGGAATTGCTCTTCGTATTCCCCCGGGCACAAGGGTTTGGCGGGGAACGGTGTTGCCGGTGATATCCTTTGAGCAAAGGCAGGCGGTGCAGGACATGGCGAGGTGGGACTCCGCAAAGAGGCCCCGTTTCTCTCGGAAATCGGGCACCTGTCGAGCGGATGCTAGTGCACCGCTAGCCCCGTGGTCAGGTCACTACAGTATAGTAGGTGTGCTGTCGTTGGACTGGTGTTGGACCGTGGTGGTGGTGTTCAGAATCCGGGGCTTGGAATGCCGCGGGTCGCGATTCTGAACGCATTCGGATGCATTGTTGACAGTGGTGCCTGGTGTCTTTGCATCGCCACGGAAAGTTAGGAACGACGACAGTTCCCTTTCTTGGGGTTCCATGGGTCATGGACGCGCAAGCTACCGTGGTATTTGGGTTTCCAGGAGGATGGGAAAGTCTCCGAGAGCTGGGTTGTCGTGTGTCGAGAAGGGGGCCGCGGATCGTTAGTGGTTCATGACGGGAGCTGCGTGTCCACGACAGCGTCATGAAGAAGACGGTTAACTTGGTTTTAGCTTCTGGGTAAGGCGAACGCGGACGCGGACGCGGATGTAGACGCAATCCGTGGCAGGGTTGTACATAGTAGGCATGCATCTATTCCTTCCCATGATCCGTCTACGATCTGTCCGCGTATCCATGAAGCTTAGACTACTGCAGACGATACTTTGGACAACAACCTTTACCTTTGCAAGTTCGGTGATGGTTCCGAGACTCTACTAGGTACGTACAGAGTACGGAACGACAGATAGTCTACTCGGACAAAAGAAGAATTAAGCTTGAAGTAGCAACTGTGGTTGGACGGACGGGATATTTCCCAGATTTACTACCCTCCATTTTGAAATCATCTTGAGGCAATACCTAGCAATGCGGAGTAGATGCGCATTCAGAATCCAGCTGCAGCAGTAGACACACCTTTCCCTTGATGGATTGCGGAAGACGCTTCTTTCGGCCACCGATCAGTCTAACTATCCTTCGTATGAATTTTTTTTTTCTTTAGAGTTACCGAATCCAGCGACTTGGTCCGGGCGATGCACCCTTGTCGAAATCGACTGACTCGGCGTCCCTTCCCCACCAATGTCCTTTCCCCGTCCGTGCACGCACCCTTTTTTTTGTGTCGTTCTTGACTCCTTCCTAGAGTGCCTTCCCTGGCGTGGCCTGGCCCCTCTTGGCACTTTCTTTCACTTCCTCTGCCACTGCCACTGCCTTCCTGGCGCGCATTCTCCGTGGCTCCAATCAACTTGGTCTGCAGCCTTGCGCCGACTTCAGTCCATTCGCGATCGCGAGGCTGAGAAAGGTCTGGGTCAAACGCCTCAAACAATCATCACCAACACGCCCCATTGAGTCCTGGTACTCTTGTCGTTCCTTCACACTGAGGCCCTCAAGGGCAAGCCGCGCCTCATGTCCCCGACAACACCAACGGACTTTGGCTCCTTCCCCCCGCCCCTCACCCGCTCCTCCACCCTCCCGACGGCCCTCAGCACCGGCACCACAAACAGCAGCACGAACAACAGCACCACAAACTTCCACCAGCAGCGCCAGGACAGATCCCGCCTCGCTCCCGAAGATGCCTTCCTAGCGACATCCCCGCCACGCCGACCCGTGCCCTCCTTCCCCGATGTGTCCACCCTCGGCGCAGACCACCGCGCCGCCCGCGCACGCCTCCGCCACAATGCTGCCTCTGCAGTCGCTGGAAGCCACCGCTCCCGCTCTCGCCGGAGTCGCAAGCGGACCTGGAAGAAGCTCATGTGGGTGAAACAGAGCTACCCGGACAACTACACGGACCAAAACACCTTTCTCGAGAGCCTCCAGCGCAACCCGCGCCTGCAGCCCTACGACTTTTGGCCCCTTGTCGCCGACTCGACGGTGATTGTCCAGCATGTCTGCTCCGTCATCCTCTTCATCGTCTGCTTCGTCCTAATATCCCAGGAACGCGTGTCACCCGTGTCCATTGTGTCGTTCAGCAGCATGGCGACGTTCTTGGGGTGGCTGCTGTGGGAGCGCTGGGAGGCCGACGAGGAGCGGAAAGAACTGGGTCTGGCGGGCGGCGGCAGCAGCAGTGCCACGGCCGCGGGGCGGAGATTGGAGCCGAGTCGAAGGACGGGGAGTATGAGGCAGCGGAGCCCGCCGCTGCATGACGATGGTAGTGCCGCCGCGGCTTCGTCCACGGCTACGACGGCCACGAGCTCCGCGACGAATTTGTCGAGTACCGCTGGCGCAGAGCGGCCTCGTCTGGCGCGGCATTCGCATTCCGCCTCTGCGAGCTCCCTCATTTCTTCCACGTCGGCGACCTCGCAGTCCGTCTACCGCCGCTACAGCCAAGAAGTCAACAGCAGCATGCCTCTCCCGCGGCGATCCTCTTTCCCTCTGCCAGGCGACGACAACAGCCGCCTCAACCAGCGTCTCAGCACCGTCAAGAGCGCTATCCTCATCTACTCCACTCTTCTCGGCCTCTCCCCCATCCTCAAATCTCTCACAAAATCGACCTCGAGCGACAGTATTTGGGCCATGTCCTTTTGGCTCCTGACCATCAACATCTTCTTCTTCGACTACTCGGGCGGCGTCCGCGTCAACATCCCCGCCTCGCTATCCACCAACGCGGCGCTCATGGCCTCAACGGTGCTCGCTTCGCGGCTGCCGTCCACGGGTCAGGTCTTCAGCCTCACGCTTTTCAGCATCGAGGTCTTTGGGCTGTTCCCCGTATTTCGGCGGTACGCGAGGCACCGGAGCTGGGGGTACCACTATGCCATGACGGTGTTTCTCGTGCTTGGCGCGGGTGCCGGTGTCGGAGTTATCGTGGGTGACAATGGCAGTGGTGTTGCAGCCGGTAGTTGTGCCGGTATGGGGATATCCTGCTGGCCTTGGAAGGGCGCCGTCGCGGGCATGGTCGTCAGCGTGCTCATCTCCGCGATTGCGATGGGCGGGTGTAGTTGGTGGCTGATTGGGTTGCAAAAGTACAAGAACGAGATTTATGGGCCGTGGGATCCGGCAAGGCCTATCATTATGAGTCGACGGCTTTGGGATGATGGGTAAGGTAGTAGGCATTTATGAGCACGTAGTGTAAAGTAATTTGATGAGAGATGTTTTGGAAAAAGTTGAATCATGATATTGCGGAGAAGTGATGTTGAGACTGGCTAATGAGTGTGTGCTACTGGAATTCTATGGCTTCGCGAGATATTGCAGCTCTTGGACCTCCTCGTCGCCACCCTTTGACTTTACTTCTGCGGCGTTGCGAGGTAGGCTGCTATCCGACGCCGTCACTTTTTCCAACTCCCGAGTCTCTGGACTTTCACTCGACATTTTGGCGATACATGCTGCGCATAAACCCCAGAAAAGGAGATAGACGAAGACCCCGCACATCGCCAAGTCAGTGTCGGAGAGATACGCCTCGATGCCGTCCCCGGTGCCGCTCCCGGCGCTGCTCCTGTTGCTGTCCCTGGTGCTTCCTCCGGCGCCGTCGTAGTCACAATCATCAGTGAATATGGTCTCGCCGGCCGCAGACCTCCTCTTCAGTTCGGAGAGAATCTTGCCTCTGCTGACCATACGCTCCGTGATGACGTTCAGGGCATTCACTGAGATGAGAGCCGATGATTCTCTCGGTAGGCGTGACTCGCTCTGTCTATCAGATCCTCCCGGAGAATGCCGAGGGCATTTAATTGAGATTCAAACCGTTGCGACCGTCGGGAGAGCTCCTTCCTATCTTCCTCGTCCTTGAGCTTTTTGGCGTCGAGAGACGACGTTATCGATGATGAGGAGGACGCTCTCCGCTGTGACGGTGTAGGTTGGAATGCCGATGTGAAGCTCGAGGATGCGGCTGTCGCTGGTATGATTTTCGGCCACGGACATTGATGCGGGAGGGAGAAGAGCGGTTTCGGTCGCGATGTGCGCGGGGGGCCGTCGCGGAGGCTGTAGCGGATGTACCTGTCGATGTCTGGGTGTACGACTTTGGCGCGGAGGGTAGATGTGTTTGAGAAGAGGCGGGTGTGTGGCGGTGCTGTGGTTGTGGTTGTGAAGGGTGATGGTCTTGTGATTATTCTGCGGAGGTGCCTCCGGAGAGTGTGGAGGAGGGTTTGGGAGGCCATTGTTCTGGTTTGGTATGAGGCGGTGATTTTTGTTCTTGTCGTGTTCGAGTTGTGGTTGAAGTTGTCGAGGATGATGTCTGATATATTACTTACGCGGGAAAAGTCTTGTGGTCATGAGGGATGGTAAAGTATGTGACGGAGAGGGCATGAGCCTCAGACTGTTGAGATGGTCGTCAAGGTTTTTTGGTATACCTTGATATCACCAGAGCCATCCCTTTTATATGACTCAATTTTGCCGCCATTTACATTTCTACCGTATCAAGTAATGAAACTTGTATCGCAAACTGTGCGAATATGATCTTGCGCTGTTTCTAGTTCTGCGTGAACGAGTGTTTTTCCGTGGCTCCCATGAAGTCTCGCAATGTGATATGAGGTTTTGATCCATCTATATATAGAAGAGCGATGTAAAGCAGTCGAGGACCTTGTCAACTCTACCAGAGATAGGGATGTTATGGAAATGTGTGGAAATAAGGCGGGAGCGGAAGCTGGACTCAACGTTCTATCTCCGAATTATCTTGTCTGGTGGTTTAGAAAGGGGGACTTCCGCCTTGAGATGAACTCGCAGTTTTTATCGTGTTAGCTATGTTACTGAAGGAATCAATTACAAGCTACACCGACATCTCAAACCAGCCAATACCTTCAAAGGTCAACACCATCGACGATCAACATCATGTTCAACACTATCCTACAAACAACACCGCGGCTTTACAGTCACTTGGCTACCAGCCGAATGATCTTGCATGAACTCCAGACTCGGTCCAGTACCGCACGAACTGTGGGACTACACAATCGTCGCCTCATCAATGTCACCCAGGCACTCTCAAACCCTATCCAATCAGCGCAAGAGATCCTTGAGTCCTCCATAAACTGTAACCAAAGCAGATACGGCAGTCCCCACCAAGACAACCCATTCCAAGGCTTCATACGGGGTCCAAGGAAAACCAAGGGGGTTTACAGATATGAAGCGCCCAATAGAAAACAACAAGTAACATCTCCGACCACCTTCAAGTCATACCTATCATCCTTCGGCACTTTCAGGGGTCTCTTCACGCATGTCGTTGAGATTCTGGACAACCCGAGAGAATACGCAATCAACCGGTGGACAGATCGGGGGGAGAAGATCGAAAGGCTACCGGAAGACCATGGCGAGATTGTGGAACGTCTTCAGGCTGTCGAAAGGCATCAAAGATTTCACTCTTATATGGCATACTGCGTTGTGAGTGGGGTTGTGCTCGCGACTGCTCTTTCGCTTCTTGTGGCGTTTGCTGCCAGCGAGATCAGAGACAAGGGAAATAGGATAAATAGTGATGGTGGATCTGAGCAAAAGACGGAGAAGCCCTCTACCGAGCATTAAGATGGTCATACCACAAGAATATACAAATGGAGTTGAGAGATGACTTAGAAACACATCGGGCAAGCTAATAGAAGGGATCATGGCTTGAGCAGACACCAACGCTGGCGTGCAGAATAGATACCCTACAATATCATTAAGGACGACCAACTCCCGCCTCTGTTACATCGCGAGGCATTGCAGAGATTCAAAAACCAGGTCAAAAATAACGTGACTGGATGTCTAGTGCTTACACTAATGTTGCTTTGTACGCTGAACTACGTACATGTCAACATGCAGGTCATGTGGCTGTGACACATCCCTCCCCAGTTGAAGTAGAAATCATGCAGCCTGATTTGCGAACTCTTAATCGTCCCTTCACTTCCTTAACCTAAAACATACGTAGTTGATTCAACCTCTTCTGCTCTGTTGCACCATCTTGAAGCTATGAATGCGTCACTGGCGGACTACCAGTACAAGGCTCTTTCAACAATCGACTCCATACGCCTCCTCAGCATTTCGCGAGACAACCATCATCCTCACGGACTCTGCCTCTCGCTGAAAGAGGTCAGCTTGGATGATGAACCAATATTTGCCGCGCTCTCTTACACTTGGCAGCTACCCAAGTATGGCAACTCTGAACAGACCCTGGAGCCAGGGCCAGGAATGACGTTTGAGGTAGTCTGCGACGGCAGATCGATGAAGATATCTGAGAATCTATTCAACTTCCTCTGTACCATCCTCGAGTTCCGATGCCTAGCAAAGGCTGGCGCGGACGAACCTTCCTCCACGACTCCGAAATGTCCGCCCAAAGTCAAGTCCGCGCTGGAAACAATGCCACTGTGGATAGACGCGTTCTGCATCGACCAGGCCAACAACAAGGAAAAGAGACATCAAGTGCTCCTTATGCACCGCATCTACAGTGCCGCGCAAAATGTTCTTGTGTGGCTAGGGCTCTCGGAGCCTGATCCCGAGGTTCAGTGGATCCACGACAAGTTTGTCCCTCGTCTATCTCGGGCACTGAGGAAGCCGGAGTCTGTAAAGGCCCAATTGTACAAGGACCCTTACTGCAGGAAACCTGAAGTTCTCGATCTTTTGGGGCCCGACACATGTTCCAGATGGGGAACGTCATGGTTCATTCTTGCAAAGTTCCTTGGGGAAAATCGCTGGTTCGATCGCGGTTGGGTCGTTCAGGAAATTGCTTTGGCAGATCCAGCTCAAACACATATCATGTGTGGAAAAGTTGTCTTGAGTTGGAAGCGCCTCGGTGCATTCGTGCAGTTTCTCCATGAGTCTCGATGGAGCCACTCCCTGGAAACACACATCGAACGGTCGTTCGAACATGTTAAACTATTCCCCAATGGTCAAGCCCTGTCCAAGCCGCAAAGTCCTACCAGTAGGCATCTTGGCATCGGAGGTGGTCTACACAAGATTAACGGAGTCCGCAATCTGCTAAGCGAACTTGTGTTCTACACGGGAAACGAAAGCTGGAGCATGAGATCGGGGCCCGCATGGCTCGCATGTGCCAGTGTCATCATTTCCACTCTCCGCTCCTTTCACTTTGGGGATGACCGCGATCATATCCCCAAGGAGTCTCGAGCCCTATCATTCCTGACTACGATCAAAGCGTGGAGGATGTCTTCACATCTGTCGCTGCGTGCTTTCTCGAACGGCTTCCATTACTATCAGAACTCAGACATATCGGAAAGGAGAAGACCCGCCGTTACACAGCCTTACCGTCGTGGGTACCTGATTATTCGGTACCAAATGCGTCGAAAACGGATCGCCACAACCGATATGGTGGGTTACCTCAGACCGAGGTAACTCTCAAAGTCCTAGGACGGTGCGAGGGAGAAATATGGTCGCGCGAACTGAGAAGGCCTTCTATCATTGGACAAAAGCTTGTTTTGCATGGCATGAAGATAGGTACGATATTGAGCAAAGTCCATGAGCACTTTATTCCAGAGTCTAGTTACGAGATGGCATTGACGATGGTTGGTTACTTTCGAACCAGACCATTTGAGGCTCTGTCAACCTCAACTGAACCTGTGGGACAGATTAGCAGCAGCAGTTCTGAACGAATGTTTAGAGCTCTACGCATTGCATCTGGAGCCCCTTGTGTCCGATTGCGGTCTTGATAAGTCACACAGAGTCGAATATTACGTTCCGGGACGGCGAGAGTTTGTGCACACACGACTCAACGGGTCCGAGGCGGGGCATTTCATTCGCAAAGAGATCTTTGCGTGGGTTGAACGGTTCCAGATTCTTGGCTTTCCTCATTTCCCTCGTTTGTGTGTAGACCAACAAGTCTGGGAAGAGCTTGATAACGAATGTTTCTATCGTACTTCTCGACAGGCTTTCGGGCTGGGCTCTCATTTTGCAATGGAGCATGACCAAATTTGGTTCGCAGAAGGTGCTTCTGTTCCTTTCATTCTACGAGAAGTTACACCTGCTCCGGAGACTGGCAAAGGGGGTACTCAACCTCGAGTATTCCGCTATATTGGAGACATCGAGCTCTCTGATTTTGATGTCTACTCTAGCGAGTTGACTTCTGAACGGCACACACTAGAATATGAGGAGATCAACATTATATGAAGCAGGAGCTAGAATGTCAACACCTCGATTAAACAAGTGAAATAAGAACATAACTGATCAGTTCTGATTTACCTAGCCCCATTTTCAACACAGTGAGATAGATATATAGTACAAGACCACTAACCAACCCTCTGTTATTAAGAGCACGATAGAGCAAAAGCAAAAGTGATTGCGTCGAGGGGGAATCGAACCCCCGGCTCCCCGACGCTGCTGAATGGCAACGGAGAATTTTACCACTAAACCATCGACGCGGCTGGGAGTTTCGATGCCATAGGTTGTACTTGAAGCATTCCTCAATCATGCTGTCTCTCAATCTGGAGAAGAGAAGTGCTTGGTCATCCGACTTTGTCGACGTGAGCTAAGAGGATATATCGTCTTCGGCAAGACTTGTAGCCAAACGGGCTGCTTCGGCCTGAAGTCGGATTACACTCACAAACACACCATGCGATGAAAGCAATCCTTCTCATTGTTGAAAGTCGTAAAGGCATAATGCATGGGTCCTCCCGTGAAACCAGAAAAGCTGACCGCAATGCCATATCTCAAGATTGCAACTCCAGGTCCTGAAACGTCCAAATCAGCCCCCGCTCTACAAAGTCAAAGACAGCAGGAGGGCTGTATCGTCTCTGCAGCATCCGCCTCAAAATCGGTCTAGGGAAAGTGTGTTTGCATTGGCTCTTGCCGTAGCTGTTCCTCCACGCGCCGTCGTCTGCCTTTTCTTCCTAAGCGCAGCATAGCCTCCCGCTTCCTCCAGTGTTTCCTCCTCTATTTGGGCACAGCGAATTTCGTGGTCCACTCTTTGGCCGTCGCGATGGCGGCCTGCTCGTCCTCCTTCCAGCTCTTCGCGACGTCGGCGGCGAGGGGGTCGTCGGGGTTGGGGGCGCCGAGGAGGGCCTGGATTGAGAGGAGAATAGTGCGGATCTGGAGGGCAGGGGACCAGTTGTCTAAACGAAGGTTTCTTTGTCAGCCGTCCTGCGTCAAACCTCCATTGTTCGTGTACTGCTACTCACTCTTCAGAACATCGAGACAGATGCGGCCCAGCTTGTCGACATTCGGGTGGAAGATCTTGGTAAGGAAGCGAATCTTGGGGGGAGTCATGGGGTAGTCGTCGGGAAGGAAGAGCTCGAGCTTGAAGACACCGCCTGTAATACCTCTTAGTTCTTTCCTATCCAGTCAACTTTCCGTAAATGTATTGCGCACCTTCATACGGAGATTGTGTAGGTCCGTGAATTTCGACATCGAAGTAGCGGAGGTTGTCCTCGTGAGGGACGGCACTGATTCCGGGTACCCTTTGAAGCGGTCTTTGTTAGCAAAACATCGAGATGTCGCTAGCTAGGCAGGAGACTTACGGCTCAGCCATGAGACGCTCCGTCTCCTTCACAATACGCTTAGGCAAAGCCATGCTGGGCGACAAATGCTCTGGAGATTGTTCGAGGGTGAGGGAGGAAAGGTATGGTGTCTGAGCTTCCTCTAGAAACCGAAGTTCAAGGCCAAGAAGCTGATGGCGGGGTTAAGCGAGTGGTGAATGAGATGGAGCTTCCTTGATTTCAACTCGCCGGGGAAGGAAGAAAGGTCGCAAACTAAATCGCAATCGGATACTCGGGATATCGGTTTGGAGCGGCGGCGACGAAGGTGACGAGTAGGCGGAACTGGTGGAGTGTTTCGAAAGGCAACCTTTGGGTATGGTGGGCATGTGCTTGGGAAAGCCTTGCTTGGGATTGCCCCGCGGGAGGGACCAGAAGCATGACACACTCCAGGCCTGGCTCGACGCTGTCCCGATAACAGTAAAAGGGTGGAGACTGACGGTGGTGTTAGCGAGCTATCATTGGCCTAGAGGTCCTGGCGGGGAGTAAGTACACAACTGCAGACTTGCTGCACGAAGGTACATTATTCCGATTGTGGGTCCCCGACTGTCATCCCGTCCATCCACAAGCGTCCGCCCAGGATGCTCAGCGATGGATGCACCTGATCCCGTCGCGTGCATCAGCCTCTGAGCCTCAACTAAAGACCCTCGATATCAAGTTGCGATATTCCATCCAATCAAGACATCTCATCAGTCAAAGAGCAACTATCAGAGCAGCCTACATTGCGGAAGAACTCTCCCATTGTCGCGTGCTATCGGATCATGGCAAAGACATAGCGCCTACAGATGCCTTTCTGAGGCATCTCTCTCATCTGAGCCAAAACCGCCATCATGCCGCACTTCGACCAGCTTGATGCGCCGAAGAAGGGCAAGCCGATCAAGTCAGCCTTCGACAGCGAGAGCTTTGATGCGGATGGCACGATTCACGTCGCCGGTCTAGTAGGATCGGCGACGATAGCTCCTTCTCAGAGAGATGTTGCCTTAGCATCGTGAGTGAACTTGTTGTGAGGCTTCCGAGCCACTGAACCCCAGCTGACACATCCATTAGACCCGAAGGTTTATCCATTATTGATTTGGACTCACCTTACAATCCTCCTCGTCGACTCAGCAGTCATGGCTCCCCTTGGCTTGTCACTGATGTCCAATGGTCGCCCTTTGCCGTTCGCGACTACTGGGTCGTGTCCACTGCCAATCATCGCGCGCTTGTATGGAACCTCAACTTGAGAGATGACTCGACATCGGGGGCCATTGAGCACTCACTTCAAGGCCACAGCAGAGCCATCACCGATATCAACTGGTCCGCCCACCACCCCGACCAGCTCGCTTCGTGTGCTGTCGATGGTTACGTCCACTGCTGGGATCTCAGACGCCCGAGACAGCCTGTCCTTACTTTCTGCGATTGGTTTGCCGGCGCCACGCAAGTCAAGTACAACCGCCAGGACCCGCACATCCTGGCTTCATCTCACGACAGGTGGTTACACATTTGGGACGAAAGACGACCAAGCGAGCCCCTGAAATCAATCGGCGCACACACCTCAAAGATCTACGGGATTGATTGGAATCGGACAACGTCAACCAAGATTGTTACTTGCTCTTTGGATAAGCACATCAAGTTTTGGGACTATGCGAGCGATCAAGATGTCCCGGATCGCGTTATACGTACCGAGTTCCCGGTGTGGCGCGCTCGTCATACCCCTTTTGGCCAGGGGCTCCTTGCGATGCCTCAGAACGAACCAGGCGACCTGTACCTGTACGACTGGCGAACACCTCCCAAGGACCCTGAGGAAGGGCCGACTGAGCCAGTAGCAGTATTTCCTGGCCACGGCAACCACAAGGCCAAGGAGTTCTTGTGGAGAAGTAGAGGGAGCATCACCGAAGATGCGCTAGATAACAGAGACTTCCAGCTCGTCTCTTGGGGAGAGGATAATGAGCTGCGCCTGCAGCAAGTCGACCCGTCTATTCTCGAGTCTGTGGGATATGTCAAGGGGATGGCGGCCAACAAGAATGTCGTCCTCACACGCAAAGGCGCTGCCTACAAAACTTTCCGAACGGTTGAGGACACAGTCAGCCGAGACAGGAGGAGTGCCACAATGAGCGATCCCCGTAATAGCGCGCAATACCGTCAGAGTGCTCTGACTATGGGTATGCGGTCTGGGCCGACAACCTATTCCAAACTTGGTGCGGCTTGGAAGGGCTCATCAATGAAAGCCAAAAGCACTTCCAGAGAGATGGATCGTAGCCAGGCACATATCGGCTGGATGAAGGGAATCATGATGAACAAGCGCAAGACATCTACAGACAGCCCTAGAAGGGCAGATTCAAAGGACTCTAGCATGTTCAGCCCAGGTTACATGGATGATGACAAGTGGGGAGAACCAGAGACTATCCAGGAAGAGTTTCTCCGCATCAGCATGCAGCTTCCCAAGGTCAAATGGGAGCACATCGACATGGATAACTTGACGCTCAACGCATCCCTCAATGGCCCGTGGGGCGCCAACAGCGACCCCATCTTCATAAAAGTTACAGTCGACATACCATCTAACTATCCTAAAGCCAAAGCACCAAGATTCTACATTGAGAAGACCGGCTTCATGTCAGACAAGACGCATCGGAAGATCGAGCACGAAATTCATGAGCTTTGCCAACAGTTTCTGGAGCGAAAGCAGAATTGCCTGGATGTTGCTTTCTCTTATCTGTTAGGCGAGATCGACCTGGCGGCGAGCACAAATTTCTTCAAGAATGTGAAGGATCTTGACGATCCATTAGACGGCCTTGGTTCCGAGAGCTCTAGCGAAGACGAGAACGATATCCCGGCCGGCGGTTCCGCATCCATGTCTCAAGAATTGCCTCCGAACGCAGAGGCCGAAAGCACCTTGGCACCAAACAACAGGCCTACAATTCCACCCTTGCCACGGTTCTGCGGTGCCCGGTTTTCCAATGACGGGAGGCTGGTGTGCTTCTTCCCAACCAAGGAAGAAAAGGCAAGGGCATTGCTATTCACGCCGGCAGAACCCATGCGGGAGAGGTCAAAAGGGGAGCCTGTATTCGCCGGTTTCGGCCGTCTTGCGCATGATTCTCCGCCTGGAAAGCGATATGGTAACGACGAGATGTCCGCTACAGACGAGCAGTCCGACTCTGATGTCTCCACCGGTTCATCCTCTTCGAGTGACTCGGAATCAACATCTATCAACAAGATGAGCCTATGGTATCAGCCCCGACATCGTTTCAAGCGAACTTGGAGTGACAATCGCTCTGTTCGATCAAGCGGTGGCGGCACGGGAGTGGGAACCGGAACCGGCACAGGATCGCTTAGAAGGCGACCAGGCGCAAAATCGAAGAACGTCGTCTCCCTCCACGACTTATCGGATATTCTGCCTGCGAAGAAGGAATTCGCAGAAGATTATGCTATATTTGGGGATGGTGCTGAGGTCTGCGAGCACAATGCACAGGTCGCAGAGAAGCATGGCTGCCAAGATCTGGTAGATGTCTGGCGCTACCTCTCACTGATTCTTCGCCGAGATATCCCACTGGAATTGTCAAACATGGACCGTCACCAAAACTCCATTCTGATCATAGCCAGAGACGCTCTTGCGCGATTCCGTCACGAGGGTTCGCCGGTTACCAAGACGATTAATGGCAAAGACACTGCTGACTTCAACGGGAGAGTGAAGTGGGGCAATCATCCGCTAGCGAGGGATTTCATCAGCGATCTCTTTGATTACTTTGAGAAGACTGCAGATATCCAGATGCTAGCTATGTTGTCCTGCATCTTTAGTGAAGCATTCACCGAAGACAGTGTTGCCTACGCCGAATCGCACCTCACGCAGCCAGACACACCGCTGCCGATGAAGACTCCGGCATTTTCACTCGATTACTTCCCCACGGATGCATCTCTTTGGACTTACAACACCAGGAGTCAGACAAATTCAGCCATCACCACGCCTAGAACATTGCACACACCAATCCGATACTCTGGGTCACAAGGTTCTGCTGAAGAAATGCTTTGGACTGGGGACCCAGGCTCAAACTCTTACTCGTGCGGCGAGACACCGCCACCAAGGGGTAAGGAATATCTCGGGGAGGGGGATCAAACGCCAAGTCTCTCCACGTCGCCCAGTGGAAGGACGCTGTCGAGAGCCAACTCGGGTCTGACCTCGAGCTTCGCTATCAATTTTCCTCGACCCTTCAGCGGTGTTGCAACGGGGACAACGACCGCAGCATCATCGCCGCCTAACCATGGTCGTAAGAGACCGAGTCCAGCGGAGACCATATTGAGCACCCTCGCCCCCAGTGCACCTGGTGCTGTCACTTGGGGAGGCTCCACCATCATGGGCGACTCGGGCACGGCTCGCACCTCCCTCTCGGACGACGAGGTTTACCGCGACGATCTATTCTCCATGGTACCTATCGGAGTGTCTGTCCATATGGAGGATCAGACCATATTCGATGACGACGGGTGGATGACCACGCCGCTTCTAGAGGCGAACCGCGCTGACATGTACGCCACGTATCGCTATGTCTACGCCGAGATTCTACAAATGTGGAACCAGCCTCTGGCTCGCCTGGAGATTATGAAGTTCAACGTGCTTCAGCAAGACCAGGGAGGGACTGGCTCGATTGACGATTTCCAAGACACCTACAGTATCGCCGATACTTCGACAACAATCCAGCAGCATCACCACGATCAACAGCACCAGAGCCATCAGACCCAGCATCACCAGCAGCAACCGCACAATACCTCCCCGATTCTCCTCGGGAAGAAGGAGCAACTCCAAGCCCTCGTCGCCTCCGGCCGCGGTCTCGACGTTACCGGCGTATGCCGCGTCCACGAGACCCAGCTCGAGCCTCTGAAATACACTTCCGCCTCCGCGACTCGCTCCGGCGGCGCCGTCGGTGCGTGTGATCGCTGCCGCCGCCCGCAGTACCAGCTCCTCTGCGTATACTGCCGCGAGCCCGTCGACGCCCTGTACCCGCCGTGTCTAGGCTGCGGCTGCGCCTTCCACGAGGCATGTCTCGCGGAGTGGCATGCCGCCGGCGAG